CCCATTTCACTTCATGGTTCCCCCCCTTCCCCCACTCTTTCTTTAAACAAGCATAATCCTCGGTGTAAAACTCCAGTCTCTAACCAAGGAGGAGCAGCGAGAGGGTTGCCTTTTTTTTCTTTCTTTTTCTTTTTTTAAATATCTCCCAATGCCGGTTTCGCCCCCTTTTCAAAGTTAATCCTTTGGCAAACGCGGGCGATTGTGTCCGGACGTGTAGTTTAAACGACGGCGGGGCCTTTCCTCTTTGCTCCGTTTTGTTCGCCCGGGTGGGACGCGCGGGCTTTGGAGCTCCCGAGACGCGGATGAAACCTGACATGTGGAAAATGGCTTAGGAGGGGGCCGGAACTTCAAAAAGATCGCCCCCCCAACTCTCCGCTGTCCTCTCCACCTCCTGGCTATTAAATGAGGGCGCTTTGTGCTCCTAGTTCCGTCTTTCTTTCTTTCTTTCTTTCTTTCTTTCTTTCTTTCTTTCTTTCTTTCTTTCTTTCTTTCTTTCTTTCTTTCTTTCTTTCTTTCTTTCTTTCTTTCTTTCTTTCAGTGAATTGGGGGGGTCATTTGAGGTTTGAGACACAATCCAGATGGTCTGGGTTGCTCTGGGCCAAGAATCTTCTATTTTCCCTGCCCTGAAATAGGAAACTATTTTATTTTATTTTTAAAAATAAATCTGCTTTCCTCCCCCCCCCAAAAAATAGTATAACGCTCCCTCCCATTTCTGCAGGGCAAGCCTCTCCCAGGGACACCCCCCCTTCAAATTTCAAGCAACCCATGTGGGAATAATGTAGCACCCAACATCCTCCATAAGCAACCACAGAATCTTCAGTGTAAGAAATTCAAGAGATGCCATGATCTGATACAGAATATTCTCTCTCTCTCTTTTTAAATTTCTAGAAGAAAACTTTGATGGGGAGGGGGAGATGAGGGGAATCATTATGGCTGTCCATATTCAGAAATGACCTTTTCTGCTTTTTAAATAATGATGGGGTGTGTGTGTCTAAATCTATTTCTGTTTGGGTAGTGGGGTTCCCTCTTCTTAGCCCTGATGGATGGAAGGGGGGGAGGAGGGCAGGGATTGGCTGTTGGTAGGTCTCAGTTGCTTAGCTTGTGTGTCTTACTTATGTTGGGTGCCCATTCTGGAGGCCAAGAGGAAAGGTGTGGACAGACCTCTTGAGTGGTCACTCAAGACTTGCGTGTGCCTGCATGCAAAAGTATCTTCATATTTAGAAAGACCAAGCTGTGTTGGTGGCAGGGGAAAAAATAGGATTATTTCTTCCCAAGGTTGCCCAAGACATTTTGCTGCCTGAAGCAGAGTGGTATTAAATGGTACCCTGTCCTCCCCGGCACCCAAAGCTGGCCAAGTCATTTTGGCCCCTCAGGGTGGAAACATCTTACCAGCACCTCAGTCCCACAATCCTGACCGTTAACGTGACTTAAATTCGCAAGCATTGGCTGCCCTTTTTTTGATGCCTTTTTTTCACTCACCCAAACAGTAGGGCCGGCCTAGATGAGATCAGCATAGGGAATATTCAGCCAGAATCCATGCTCCCCAGCATCCAATATAGCTAGAGTTGTCTCTGGCAAATTTGAGAGGCTCCGCCTTCTAGCTGTCCTGAGCAGTCAGCTAGTGCTTGAAGATATACTGCCCCCCTGTGTGGAGGTTTGATTTTTTAACACTGCTGCAAAGTTTTTTCCCCCATCCAAGAACTTGCAGATCTTTGGCTGTGGCCCTGCATGCAGGGCTATCAAAGTTCTGCGGCTGCCTGAAACCAAGAGCAAGACGAACCCTTTCCTCCGTCCATCTTAGGTACTGATAAGTCTTGTCTTGAGTGTCTGATGATAGAACAATATCCTTCCAGCACTAGTTTAGACGGGGCAGTCTGAAGAACACACAGGTCTCCCCTCTAATATCTTGCTACCACTTCCCAGTTTACGTGAACAGAGGCAGCTGCCTTGTTGTACCTAATGGTAGGGCCGGCTGCAGCAATTGCATCGCTAGCCTTGACTGTGGGTTACTGCCTACTGATGACTTCTTTCTTCCTCCTCCTCCTCCTCTTCTTCGCTTTCTCTGCCCTCCTTTCCCTGATCTTCTGGGAAAGCTACACAGAACGGAGATCATTTCTGCCACAGATGGTGCTGAAACGGAGCAGAATAAAGCCACTCCCATAAATTCTTGGCCCCTCAGCCTATGCAGGGTTGTGAAACCAACAGCCACCATCCCTGGCTTGAAAGCTGATGGGGACTGGCGTCCAGGCGCATCTAAGAGGGCCAGCCGCCCACCTTCCCTTGGGATGAGCTTATGCGGGGCTAGGAGGTCTTTCCCTTGTGTTTTGGGTGGGCACAGCTCGTGTCAAGCAGCACATGGGAAAGGAGGAACAGGCCACCACGGCGCAGAGCGGTTTTGAGGCGGTGTCTGAGCCCCAGGGGTGGCTGGAAGACAACCAGCGTCTTCTTTTCGAGAGAGGCCAGGCTAAGCTGGGCAGATCCCTTTTCCCCAAATAATTCCAGATGTTGTCATTGTCTGTGGGAGAGAGAAAAACAGCTGGTGACGAAGGGAGGCCCCTTCCAAGCAAGACTCAGAGGATCAGAGATCAGGCTTCTTTATCTCAAAAATATTATTATATATTTATTTTTTACTTGCATGTCTCTCGCAGCTACATTTCCACTTTTATCCTCCCCAAGACAATCCTGTGAGGCAGGTTGAGCAAAAGAAGGCAAGGAACAGGCCTAGGGCTTCCCAAGGTGTTTTCATGATTCCACAGAGATGTGAATCTCTCTCTCTCAAGTTCCAGTCCAATGCTCCAACCGGGCTTTTTGTGGTTGGCCCAGGTTTCTTCTTGCCCAGCCCGTAATCCCACAATTCTCTTCTGGGTCAAAGGACAGACTTATTAGAAGGGGGAGCAGAAAAGGAAACCATGATGAAAACGCAGGGCATGGGTTAAAACCAATAAATCTGCAAGCTTCCAGGCTACACTGGACTATTTTATCAGTAGAATGGTGGCTACACTTCTCTCTCTCTCTGTGTGTGTGTTTTATGTTGGTCTTCCTTCAATGATCCACAGTGCCCATTGAACCTCCTATGAGAGGGTGGTGTGATGATTAGAGAGTTCCATTCCGCACTTGGATATGAATTTGATGGACTGATATTGACCTAGACATATTCTCTCAGCCTGAGCTACCTTAGCGGCATGTTGTGAAGACACAACGTAGAGGACAGCCATGTAGGTGGCCTTGAGCTCATGAGAGGGGAAGGCAGGATGTCCCTGTAAAAAAAAATGAATGAAATAATTGATAGACATGGTTCAAAGCTTCTGGGGGTTGCCAGTGGAATTTTCTTGGTT